AAAGTGACATTTTTCAAATAAAACCCCGGACATTTTTAAATGTTTTATTATTTTATGTTCCCGGGACATTTTTAAATGTCCCGGGAACATAAAATAGTTTTTTAAATTTTTTTAATAATCACCTGATCCGATCCACCGACAAGCACAGCGTCCCGTCTCTCACGCTGTCAGAATATGCATACAGAGCGTGCCGGTTACTATTTAAACCGGCGCGCTGTGTGCAGCTTCTGAGAAGATACGCTATTAGCGTAGCGGGAGCAATGCATAATGCGCAGCCGGCTTCCCCGCTACGCTAATAGCGTATCTTCTCAGAAGCTGTACAATCGTGCCGGTTTAAATAGTTACCAACACGCTCTGTATACATATTCTGACAGCCTGAGAGACAGGAGTCTGCGCTTGTCGGTCGTTCCAGGGATAACTCGAACAGTGCCGATACAGTGGGACCTCTCCCTGCTTTCTTTCCTCCCTGCTGGGTGCTGCTCTTTGTCCCAGCGGGGAGGTGAGAAAGTGAAAGCCGACCTACAAGGTGCTGGCAAAGCACTGTCCCCATGCTGAGGGCATGTGGCCTGGTATGCCAGGCTGCTGCTCGATTAAGGGTCTGGAAAAAAATTTCAGGGGAACCCCACACAATTTTCTTTTGTTTTTTTGGCATTGGGGTTCCCCTAAAATTCCTACAAGACTTAAAGGGTATGGTGAAACTTTTGAGGGGAAACCCACTTTTTTGACCTTGGGGGTTCCCCCATAACATTCCTACCATACCTGAAGGGTCTGGTATCAATTGGGGAGAGAGCTCCTTTTTTTATTTAATTTTTTTTATTTTGATGTTAAACAACATAAAGTTCTGTCACACTTTCCTGTGTGATGATGCGGCGCCAAGGTTTTGCCTCCTGTTCGGCTTTCTTCCAATCCACTCTGAACCTTTCTTTTAAAAGACCAGCTCACTTGTTGCTCAGGAGTCGAGTAACATGTCTTTACACTATAGCCGGATCCTCTGTTACTTTGAACTTGTTTATTTGTATCCTTGCAAACTTTTTGTACCTGTGATTAATACTCTTTGTGATCCTGCTCTTCCAGAAAGTGGATTGTTTCTAACCAGCTTCAGTGCACTCATGTAACTGTGACTACTGCGCTCTGTGATTCTACACTTCCAGCAAGTGGATTGTTTTCACCAGCTTCAGTGAACTCTTGTACCTGTGATTACTGCTCTCTGTGATCCTGCACTTCCAGCAAGTGGATTGTTTTCACCAGCTTCAGTGAACTCAAGCACCTGTGATCCCTGCAAACCTTTACTTACCCACATCACTGTTCTCTGTGATTCTGCACTTTCAACAAGTGGATTGTTTCACCAGCTTCAGTGAACTTTAGCACCTGTGATTACTCGTGATTCTCAGCTCCGCTCCTGTGGCTGCTTGTACATTCAACCTACTTCTCCTGAGTGTCCTTCCATCACATGTCCTCTGCTGTTTGCCAGCGCTCCCATTACTTTAATGTATGGACTACTTCCTTTGTGTACTTCCAGATCCTGTACTCCTGACCTCCATTGTGTATACTTGCTTCACCCCGGCCTGTCTTTTAATCCTAAACCTCGGTCCTGCAATTAGTCTCCTGTGTTTGTACGGATGTGCTAGAGGGCTGCAACCTGAAAAGATGTTCGGCAGCGCAATCATCGTCACCATTGGAGGCTCTGTGGAAGACCTGGCCCTTCTTAGATTCTGTGCCTTTAGTGCGCCTCCGCTAACCCACAGACACCTACTCCCTGTGTTCTTTGTGATCTGCATCCAAGGCACCCTTTAAGGTCACTACTTCAATCTAATCCATAAGCCCTGGAGCCTACCTTCTCTTGTGCCCCGGTCCTCAGACCGTGACAGGATCATTCCGAATGACAATCGTAAAGAAATTTGGTTACATTTGGATTCGTTCGTTTTTCATTCAGAAGTTTGGATGCATCTGAATGGCCGAAATTCTGATAATTTGGCCGAGTTTTAATTTGGAACGAAACAAATCGCACATGTCTACTTAATTATGCATCACTCAGCTGTAGATCCTCAAATCATCTCTGAATTTGTGCTAGCACTGTCCTTCCTTCTGAAAGGTGGCTGCTTTTAATCTCCATGGTCCCTGTGTGTGTTGCAAAGTAGCCACCTCTCCAAGTTTGCTCCTGGGATGGACTACAATCTCACATTTAGTTTGCTAGTGTGCATTGAGATTGTAGTCCATTAGGGGAGCGAGCTTAGAACAGTTGATACTTTACAACGCACACAGAGACCATGGGGAACAAAAGTAACCACCCTCCAGAAGGAAGAACAGTGTAAGCACAAGTTCAGAGATGATTTGAGGATATACAGCCGAATAATACACAAATAAGCTACTTTTTTCTTAATAGTTGGGGTACTAGCATTTTTATGATTTAACTCCTGAGTTTAGTGTCATTTTACAGCAAAGAGAAAGTGTAGAGACCATTGGGATCAATCCAACCAATCCAAACCAAGTCAGAGGACCAATTTAATGATTTTTCTTCTTTGTTTTTCTGAGTAAGCCTTAACATTTGTAAGTTTTTCTTTCACTATGTAGAACATATATAATTTCTATAACTTGCTGCTTTTTTGTTCTGTGGGAATGGATGATGATTGTAAATGTTTTTAAGAAATTCTTTACTTTAATCACAAGCAGCAGAAGTACAACATCTGTAATAACAATGCAGCCACAGTGTTAAAGTCCAATAGGTCAAGTGCAAACAGAAACAGAGCTGCTCTTTGTCTGAACAGGGAATGATACAATGATCACAGAAGAAAATAAGATATATTTAACAAAGGTTAACCACTTCTGCTATGCAAGTGGATTTTTCTGTCTCTGGTGTCTTAGGGAACAATCTAATGATCAACTTGACGTTTCCAAAGAACATAAAGAGGTTTATAGAGAAAGAGAGAAAAAAGAAAAGATAAAAAAAAGGGGGGGCAGCTCAGAGGGGGAAGAGCATAGTGGAGAAGGGGGAGGGAATTTAGCTTCCTGCGTTTTGCAAGCAATGGAGGCTTTGTGAGAGAAATATGTCTGCTCTTTGTTCCATTCATAGAGATAGCTGCAGGTCTTGCTCCCATTTAAGAAGAAATGGAGGCACATATGAGTCAGCAGGAGTTATGAGTAGCTTGTAAACCCTGGATAGAGAATGATTAGAGGGGGTTTTCTCAAGACACAATCGGTCGAACAACGTAAGTGGCGGAGGGATTGTGGATCCAGGGACCATGCTCGCCAGAAAGTGGCGGAGTTGCATCGATCTCCAGGGATCCGGTGGTGCAACAAACGCGGTAAGTTTATCTCGGGAGCACAGACGGCCATTGATCAAAAAATCGCCTAACCTGCATTTCCCCATATGCCTCAATTTCTTGAAGTGGTTGTCTCCTCTATTCAGAGGGCAAACAGGATGATCTAACACTGGGGACATTCTGGATACCCCCAGACTCTGGCCCAGCAGACCTGTTACTGATTGGAAGGCCTTCAGTGTCGGACCTATAAGGGGGTCTGCCAGCTGGACTCGTATATCGGAGAGGGGCATCCACGGGAGATAGCATAGTGGAGTCTGGGAGAATAGTTGTTCCATGGGTGATTGTAAATGTTTTTAAAAATAACTGGAATTTACTGATAATTATGTGTGTACTAGTAATTAAATTAATCTGATGCCTTTTTTAAAACACTGCTATTAGATATCAATAAATTCATACCTCGTGTTGTTTTTTGCAGGTTTTTAAAATGTCATTTGTTGAAGATGCCTAAATAAAAATAAAAAGACAAGCTCACATTCTGCTGCATGCTAATATAATTACAACTCTATTTCACAAGAAATCTATCACATAAGCAATATTAAAATGTTTAATTTTTGTGTAAATAGCTATACAACTATAACTATGAAGCAAGCTACTTTACTATGAACGGAAAATGGTAGAATATAATACAATATACAATACAAGAAAATATTTTGCTAAAAAAAAAAAAAAAGAAAGAAACAAGCAAAGTTTTTGAAAAAAATGATTATTATATGTTCTCCATCTTTGTGACAGGTCTGATATGCTAAAGCGGGGCAGTGAAGTAATACACTTTGACAAGAGTATTAATTATTATGTTTTATTAAAATGGATCTACAGGCCAAATTTTTTTTTTGTCGATAGCGTAGCAGTGTTAAAACCCTGTCATGTCAGATATCAAAGGCTTGAGGTTGAAACAAGGTGCCGGATACAGGTCATCAATATGTTATAACGGACTAAGTAGTAGCTCTTATGAGGCTGCTCACAACAACACTGCCCCCCCCCCAAAAAAAGTCAGTCCAGAATCAAAGTTCCACGTGTGCAAAATTGCTTGAAAGCACTAAACAAAAGTGAGAGACAATCTCATTAACATTTGTAAAAGTAGATTTTTATTGCAGTCTGTATCCCTAAGGCCTGGTTCACACCTGGGCGTTTTACAGCGCGTTCCTACGCTCTGTAAAACGCTCAACATGTGAAAACCAATGATTGCGATAAACGCGCATATTCGATACGCCTACGTGTGAACCCAGCCTTACTGGGGACACTAAACCTCTCTATTTGTCCTGTGATGGGAGAACCAAAAATGTACAGTTGTCACCAAAGCAATAAAAAAATTGGGCTTAGATATATTGAACATGCAAATGCTTTGGAAACATCTACTGTTGCCTTCATGAAAGGTTTCAAAATCTGCTCGATTCCATGGGTTTACTGGTTACAATTATTCTTCTGCTTTTTAGCAAAGTACATTTTAAAAAATCCAGCATTTTGCATATTTAGTGCAGTATTCATTAAAAAACACTGGGCTGCCTCAATGCAGTGCTCTATAATGCATGACAACGCGTTGATACATTGAATGTGTGAATGAGCCGAGTCTAAAAAAAAAATCTAACTTTTCACATAGCAATAAGCAAAATATGAACAGTTTCAACTAAGCCCTTTGGAAGACAATTTAAACCAAAGTAGGTAATAAAGTTGATTATTTTGCTATCATGGTTTAGTATACTGTATACATATAGACAAAAATGTATGAGTGTCAAGTTACAGCTATAGGTAACAATAGACATAAAGCAATGATTTTGTTATAAAATAAAGCACAATGACTATTAAACCAAAACAGATTTTAAAAAACCACATATAAAGTAGACACAACCAGTTTTGTAGAAAACCTAAGAACATAATATGCATTAGGCTGTAAAATACAAAAAATAACCAAACAGTTAGAAATATAATCAATAGGTACAATGTAAATGTCTAGCTAGGTGCCATAGGTCTCAGGCTGTATTTGTTAGAAAAAATTGTGTCGCTGTATCCTGGCAGAATATAAAATACCTTAGAGTAGGGATGCACCAAAATTTTGGCTGCCAAAATATTTCGGCCGACAATGGTACTATGGGCAAAATGCTGATACCATAACGGGCAAAAATGCGGCCGGAAATTCAGTGCATCCTTAGCTTCTCTCACCCCATTGGATGCCAGTCTGTGTCCCCTCCGATGCATGCTGCTCTCCCCACCTGTGTCAGCAGGGAAACAAGGATACACAGAGGATCCAGCTGCCTACACCCAGCGGGAAGGAGAGAAGCTTTCAGGAGTCCGAGCGGGGCGGGGCAGGGCGGTGCAAGGAAGAGAGAGCTGTCAGCTGTCCCAGGCACCGCCCCGATCGGCCTCCTGTTATGGGTGAGTCAGGATGGAGAGCAGGTTTCAGTAAAATAAAAAAATATAGATATAATAAAAATAAAAAAATTATTTTAAAAAGGTTGGGGGAAATCGGGCCATTTTCGGTTTCGGTTTGATAACATTTTTATTTTCAGTTTTGGTCTTAAAATGTAATTTCGGTGCATCCCTACCTCAGAGCCATGTCACACTAATGATCCTGTTGCTGGTGACAACTTCTCAGCAACAGGATTACTAAGAAACTACTTTCCTATGGAGTCACTCTCTCCCTAAACCAATACTTGCTAGTGAGTGAGGTTCTGTGGTGTTTTGGCCAGCAAGGGGAAGATACCAATTAGAGAGATTAATTTATGAGGGCATAATCATGCACACAATTGTAGTGTTCTATTACAAGATAGGATATGCAGCAATTCTTGCCCTATACCAAAAGTGGTGTATATGTAGTCCATCTGATCATTGGGGACAACTTCAAGAGAGATTTATCAGCAGGTAGTCAAGCCTCCTTCGACTATTATATCAAAGTAGTTCAGAAGTAGTCTGATAACTGCAAACATATTGCTAAGTAGCCACTCGAATTCACATACCACAAACATGCTATCTAGTTATGTTTACTTTGCAATGTTTATATTGCACATAAAGCATACCAAAAAGAAGAGTTGTTTAAAAGGCATTTTACCTGTTTGCACGCTCTGCGGCACTCTGCTGCTATTGCTAATTCACAGCAACCAAGTCCAACCCATCCATCTGACTTTTTAGAGGCACCTATTTGGAATAAATATTTGCAGTTATTAATAGATAAATTCACTGTGAACTAATACAATAAAGGTTGTATTGATAAGTTATGACAAAATTGCTGTGACATATAACAGAGTGGGAATGTTTGTGTATAGTGCGTATTATGTATTGGTAAACAGTTGGTAAATTCAGTTAAACAAGATCATTACAGTTTCATAAACTGACAGGCAGGAAGTCCCTGCCCAATTAAAATAGTACTGCCCATTGTTCTCTTCCATGCTGGCATGAACAAAATCGCAGATCTTCACCCACACGTTGCCTTTGTGGACATGGACTGTCGACAGTGGTGTCTTCTGTCATTAGAACAGTAACATTTTACCACTACATGTTCACCGCATACTTTTGGCTATTGGCAGCTAAAACCTGCTGCTGCGCTGATAGCCCAGGATGTGAGAAGGAGGAACGTGTTAGCCCTCGCTCTCACTTCCTGAGTTTTTCTTTTAGAATAACTATAGGATTTACCATTCTTATTTCACATTAGAAAGGTATTTTACTACTTCTTCTTCAACTAAATGTAGATGGATATAGCTAGTAGTACACATTAATAGTGATTGGCTGCCGGTTCGAATCGAACATAAGTTCGATTCGAACATCGGCCGTTCAAGTGTCCGGTTCGCAGTCTTTTCGACCGCAGGTCAGGTGCAAGACTGTGCCAATCAGGGCTCAGTACACATTTAGAGCCATGATTGGGCAAAGTCATAATGACTTTGCCCAATCATGGCTCACAGCTAAGTCCCTGCAGCACACTATATAAGGCTGCTGACACCGCCGCCCTATGTAGTGTGTTGCAGGAGTTAAACAGAGAGAGTTCTATTTGAGATAGTGATAGCAGATTTATAGCAGAGTGATAGCAGAGTTATATATATTTATTAGAGTTCTGTATATCAGACTTCTGTATATATCAGACTTCTGTATATATCAGACTTCTGTATATATCAGACTTCTGTATATATCAGACTTCTGTATATATCAGACTTCTGTATATATCAGACTTCTGTATATATCAGACTTCTGTATATATCAGACTTCTGTATATATGAGTTGTATATATCAGAGTTCCATATTTTAGAGTTCTGTGCTATAGCAGTCTCTCATACTGATCTATTATAGCAGTCGATCAGAATAGTCTATTCTGACAGTCGATAATTGAAATCTTTTGCTGTACACATCATGTCAGAAAGACCAAAAAAGACAGGCAGACGCTCCCATCCAGAGATAAGAGGGCAAGCAGCCTCTGTGTCCGCAGGCCGTGGTCGTGTCCGCAGGCCGTGGTCGTGGTACATCCTCTGCTGGCAGGGCACGCTTCTCCCTTCTATCTGGTGCTGGCCGTCTTATGCAGCATCAACATACAGAGGAGTTGGTGGATTGGATAACCAGGCCATCCTCATCCTCCTCATCCTCTGCCACCCAGGCTTGTAGTGGTTCTCAGTCCACCTTACCTGCCAAAGCGTCTTATTCAGCCTCCATGTCCACAGCTACTCCTGCTGTAGCCTCACCATCATGCACGGAGAGTCAGCTGAATTGTTTCACCACACCATCAGTGACATGCTGCTTGAGGATGCGCAGCACTTCCAGTGCTCTGATGTAGGCTCTGAGGTTGAGGAAGGAGCACCATCAGCGTACAGGGAGGGGGTGCCAGTGACGCACAACGAACTGGCACTCATGTTCCCCCAGCTGCAGCATTCTGCCAGGTTGGCTCCAGTGACGAGGACATAGGAGGTGATGACGATGATGAGGTCACTGATGTCACTTGGGTGCCTGATCGAACAGAGGAGGAAAGTGAGGAGGAGGCACAACCCCAACGAGGCACAATGTCCTCTACAAGCAACCATAGCCAGTCCATTGCATCAGAAGGCAGAGCTGCACAGGTGAAGGGCGCTGTTGTCTCGCAGCACACGTCTAGGAACTCTGCTGTCTGGGAGTTTTTCACGTCATGTGCAGCAGACCGCAGCATTGCTATTTGCAAGCTTTGTCTCAAGAGGATCAAGCGTGGCAAAACACATCAGCCTCTTGGGTACCATGTGTTTGAAGAGACATATGACCACCTGCCACGCATCCCGTTGGTACAACACTTTCCATCGGTCCTCATCTGTCTCTACCCCCACTATATCTCAAGCCATGTCCACAACCTCCACTGACAGGGATGATGTTGTAGTAATGGGTTTACCAGGTCCTTCCTTTGAATCTGCCAGCGGCCCAACAGCTGCAGATTTTCACAGTCAAATTTCGCTGCCCCAGCTGCTGCAACGGTAGAAAAAATATTGTCCCACCCATCCACATGCACAGTGTCTAAATGCCAGCTTGGCCAAATTACTTGCGTTACAGCTGCTGCCTTTCCATCTGGTGGACTCTGCCCCCTTCCGTGACTTTGCTGAATGTGCTGTGCCACAGTGGCAGGTACCAAAGCGACATTACTTTTCACGGAAGGCCATTCCAGCACTCTACCAGCATGTGGAAGGCAATGTTTTGGCCTCGTTGGAAAAGGCAGTCAGCAGCAAGGTCCACATTACTGCCGACACGTGGTCGGGTAACTCTGCTAGCAGCTGGGAGGGATCCAGGACGGGACTCTGTACTGGAGCTTGCTCATCCACCATGCCTCCAGAAAGCTGCTGATATGAGGTCTGTCTGCTCCAGCCCTCCTCTTCATCCTCCTCTGCAAATGTATCCGGCGAAGCGGCAGTTCACCCGAAGCGGCCAGGGGCTACGCAACGGCTCAAGCTAAAAGATGTCATGCTGTGCTTGAGCTGGTTTGCTTAGGGGACAGGAGCTACACCAGGGCAGAGATTCTGTAAGCTCTGCAGGGGCAGGCCCAGAGGTAGTTAACACCATGCCAGCTTGAGCCGGGAATGGTTGTCGGTGATAATGGCAGCAACCTTCTCTCCGCCCTACACCTGGGTAAGTTGACGCATGTTCCATGTCTGGAACACGTGCTAAATTTGGTGGTACAGCGTTTCCTAACTAGGTACCCAGGGCTGGCAGAGCTTCTCAGGCAGACCAGGAAAGTCTGCAGGCACTTTTTTACGCAGACAGCATTCCTGCGGGTCCGCAAATCAGACAGGAGGAAGAGGATGAGGATTATGACAGCTGCGGGGGCATTGAAGGTGAGGATGACATAAGACATGCTTCAAGGGAGGGTTTTGTGTCACTGGAAACTAGGGATGCACCGATACCGATACAAGCATCGGTATCGGCCGCGATACCGAGTATTTGCATGAGTACTCGTACTCGTGCAAATGCTCGGATGTCTAAAACGAGTACCTGTGTCTCTCACAGAGGGAGCACAGGATGAAATATCTGGAGGATGCTCTAAAGCGAAACTTGTGTAACACCTTTCCAGGCACTGGTAGGTTACCAAGTGATGAAAGTGGTGCTTCTGAGGCTGCGGTTGGTCAGAGGATCACAGCTTGACTGATGCCTTCCACAATTTTTTTAATCCACGACGCCGAGGGATGTTACATTTAGGCACCCATCGCCAACGTCTTCACCATATGGTGCAGGACTACCTAGGGGCAAGGGCAGACCTGGATAGCTTTCAAGCGGATGATCCGCTGGGTGCTGAGATTGGATCACTGGCAGGAACTTAGCCAATATGCCATGGAGCTACTGGGCTGCCCTTCATCCAGCATGCTTTCTGAAAGGACGTTCAGTGCTGCTGGAGGTTTTGTCACAGACAATAGAGTGTGTCTGTCCACAGACTCAGTAGACCGGCTGACATTTATAAAAATTAATCAGTCCTGGATAAGCAGCAGCTATCACTCCCCTGATGCTGATGTTACTGAATAGATCGGAGATCTCTGCATTCGGAAGGTTTCCTAGGCTGCCTACGCTGGTGGGAGATTATTATGCATTCTTCAACTTAGATTCTCTGTGTCGTGCACCACCGACTAAGACACAATTTTTCCGCACTTGCATGTGACAGGTGTATACCATTTCAATATTTGACCGCAGGGTCCAACCCTGCACTCTTCCGGAATACCTCTGGAGGGTTACGGTGTGAAGGCACTAGCTGGCACCAAAGGCCCAATATTTGGGTGCACTGACCGGTGTACCGGAAGCATACCATTTAAATATTTAACCGCAGGGTCCAACCCTGCACTCTTCCGGAATACCTCTGGAGGGTTACGGTGTGAAGGCACTAGCTGGCACCAAAGGCCCAATATTTGGTGCACTGACCGGTGTAACGGATGCATACAGTGTCAATATTTAACCGCATGGTCCAACCCTGCACTCTTCTGGAATACCTCCTGGAGGGTTACGGTGTGAAGGCACTATCTGGCACCAAAGGCCCTATATTTGGGTGCACTGACTGGTGTACCGGATGCATACCATTTCAATATTTGACCGCAGGGTCCAACCCTGCACTCTTCCGGAATACCTCTGGAGGGTTACAGTGTGAAGGCACTAGCTGGCACCAAAGGCCCAATTTTAAAGCACCTGTTGTTACTTTCATCCAAAGCCTGCAAAAGAGGCACCATAAGTTATCCAAGAAATCACTAAACTTGTTCCGAGTGTCCTAAAATGTGTCCTCTTCATACAGGCTGTCGCCCCAAGCAGTTGTTTAATAGATTAAAGGAAAACCAATTACCGTCAATTGAAATTGAATTTTTTTTCTTTTTAAATGTCACTTTTTGCTGCCTGTACCTGTAAATCATGTAAAAATCACTGTTGCTTTAACCACTTCAAGACCAGGTGTTTAGGCCCCCTTCCTGGCCAGGCCATTTTTCAGGATTCAGCACTGTGGTACTTTGAATGACATTTATTCCGTCATGCAACACTGTACTGAAATTAATTTTATACAATTTTTTGGGGATAGATAGCGCGTTCTTTTGGTGGTATTTAATCACCACTGGGGTTTTTAGTTTTTACTATATTAAGGAAAAATTATTGAAAATTTTGGGAAAAAAATTAATTTTTTCATTATATTAGGAAACAATGATTATTACCCATATTTTTTGGTAAAATATAAAAGACGGGGTCACGTCGGGTAAATAGACACCAAACATGTCAATCTTTAAAATTGCGAGCACCAGCGAAATCGCAAAAAAAATGACCATTCCCAAAATTCACCATAGGCGAAGCTTTAAAAGCTTTTACCGCCCATCAGTTTAGTGTTATCAGTGATTGATAGCCCTAAAATTATTGCTCTCATTCCGACGTTCGCGACAATATGTAACATGTGCGGCGTAATGGGCGCAATTGTCGTTTTTGCACGTATGCGCACCCAACGCCTGTTTGTATGTATGGTGGGGGACTTAATGTTTTTTTTAATTCTTTTTTATGTGTAACTTTACATTTTTTGGGGGGAAACTTAATTTTTTTTTTCCTATTTTTTTCCCCTTAACTTTATTGCTATCCCATAAGGGGGCTAAGAAACCCCCTTATGTGATAGCAAAAGAAGTGACAGGTACTCTTTATGGAGACATTAGGGGTCTCCATGGACGTAGCGGGACCTCACACAAGCTTGTATGTTAACAGGCATCGCTGCCTGTTTTTTAAAACAGGGGGCGTGGCTGAGCGGACGTCTAAAGATGCCCGCTCAGATCTAGAGAGCTCCTGGCCGGCCGTTTTTTTTACAACGGCCGGCCGGGAAGTGGTTAAAAACGTTTTTTGTTTTTTTTTATTTCATTGATTCCTGTCATTCGGGGCACTACCCGGATCCCCATACACTTTTTATTGCCAATAAATGCATTTAAGGCTTGAAAATGGGGACATTTGATTTTCAATGTTCTACCCCCATAGACTTGCATTGCGTTCAAGTTCGTATTTGAACTTTTCGGCCGTTCGAGTGTTCGAATACGAACCGAACACGGGGGTGTTCGGCTTATCTCTACACATTAATACTGAACTTCTGTCAATGAATATAAAGAACCACTTTTCAACCTAGTTATGCATTTATTAGGTTATATAACTAGCATATGTACCTAAATCAGTCGTGATATTACCCACCTACACTGATGGAATCTAAAAGGAGGGTCAAAATCTAATGCTGTGAAAATTCTTACTGGGAGAGAAGAGAGATTACTTGATCAGATTACTAGCCTGATGTGCTGCTGTTCTTTCAATGTCCAAGGCTATGGTCGATCCTAACCAGGCTGTATTGCAAAAAAGAGAACTAAAGCCAAAACTTTTTTTGGCTTTAGTTTACTAATGTACTCCTGTGACCCAAACTCAGCATATAGTGGACTACTGCCCGCAGAGTTGCGCTGCAGCCGGGAAGGATCACGACAATATTGACAGCTGGTTCTGCCTCTCTAAAGCTGTGCCAGCTGTGCCCACTTTCTCCCTTGTCTGTCCCGCCAATCGGCGTTGAAGGAATAGAGAGAAGGGATAGTAACCACTCTGCAGGTAGAAGACCATTGAGCTGAGCGATCAGCAGTTTGTGATTGCTCAGTTCTTGATATATAGAGCTAGCGTGTGACAGCTGCAGTGTCACACGCCTGCTCAAAATATTGAAAAGACTATATTTTACTCTCCTAATGCTTCTTCTTTCAAAGCTGTGCAGTTTGCAGGGATGTCAAGGACCTGAGTATGCTGTCTGGCAAGGCAGGCAGAATCACACGACTGAACAGAATTACAATTTCTTTATCAGGAAAAACACTTCACATACTGTATATGTATTTCAACAGTGTTTTTTTTTGTTTTTGTTTGCTTGAACTTTTGTATAATAAAAATAAACTGTAAGATCAACATCTATACAACTACAAAAAAAGGTAAATTTTCATCTTACCAGGTAAAGATGAATTCATGCAATTCCAAATATCTGTCTGAAAACAAAATGACAATAATGACAATGAATAATCTGAGGTATAACATATGTTGTGCACTACTCTCAAATTCATGAATTGCAGTTATGAAATGATCCATATTCACAGATGCTTTTTATATTACACACAGTGGGGATCGGTGGGGACACAGAACGGATCCAGCTACTGGTGCCCAGCAGGAAAGAGAGTAGCTGTCAGGAGGCCGAGTGGTGCAGTGCAGGGAGGAAGAAGAGATCTGTCAGGAGACCGAGTGGGGAGGTGTGGGGATAAGAGCTTGGCTCCGGTGACAGGGGGGAGGGGGTGGAGCAGTCAGGATGGAGAGCGGAGCACAAACACTGATCGCTCAGTGTTTGTAAATAACTGAGGACATAGTGATTACAATGTCCCAAATTATGAATAAACATGAAGTGCTATACATCACTTCCTGTTAATTTTTTGGGGACTTAGTAAATATTTACAATTTAATATTTGTGAATAAACAGGAAGCAGCTCAGTACAGTGGCTTCCTGTCCATTCATGACTGGGTTGGTAGTAAATTACTATCTCCAGACTGTGAATGAACAGGAAGCCTCTGTACAGAGAACTTCCTGTTCATTGAGTGCTGGGGCTGCAGAAAAAAAGACTGAGGACTGTGTCCTCAATCTTTTTTCCTATTTTAAGAGGGAAATATCAGGGGTCTAAACGGATGTTTCCCGAAAAGCCATTTCAGTGCATCCCTACTATTAGGGCACTCACTTACCCTGCAGAAGAATTCATATCTATAAATAAAAACTCTGTTAATGACTAATTTATACTCTGGAACTCTCATAAAGCCTTTATGAGAGGTATTTTTGTAAAACTTACAGCTCAGGAAAAATAACATAGAACCAAACATATAATGTCCGTTTTAGAGGGCAAACAGTAGAATAACAAAGCAAAATATCCCACTCTATAGCCGATAGGATCCAAGAGAAATGAGAATGCGACTGCAACAATAACTTTACAAACACAGCCAAAATTAGTTTCTCAAGCCTCTTGCCATAAAAAAACTAATCACTTCAACAACACATGATCCATGTGAAATTCACCTAAAATTTTTAACCACCCCCCTTCCTGTCCAGGCCATTTTTCAGTATTCAGCGCTTAAGTACTTTGACATTTATTCAGTCCTGCAACATCGTACTGAAATTGATATTATATAATTTTTTTTAACAGATAGAGCTTTCTTTTGGTGGTATTTAATCACCACTGGGGTTTTTATTTTCTACTATATAAAGAAAAAAAAAACAGTTTTCCCTACTTCATGGTATGAAACATTGCAAATAAGTAATCTTGCCTTCTACATTTAAGCCAAAATGTATTCTGCTACATTTCTTTGGTCAAATTGTGTAAATAGACACCAAACATGTCAAGCCAAAAAATGGCATGTGCCCGTGAAATCTCACCTCAACGCTTTTTGAGGTGAGTCCATTAGACCCCTAATGTCACCTAGGGACCCCAAAGAAACTGATGAAGCAGATAACTGCTTAACCAGCTTCTTCTCTAGCTACAGCAGCCCGGAGAAATGACAACTTGAAACCAAAAGTGATGTCATTTACACCACTTCTGCCTTCAGTGATCGGAGGGGAGATCAGCCACTAAAAGCGTGCTGATATCCCTCCAATAAAGCAGCAGAGACCCACAGTGCTGGTCCCAGGCCCACACAGAGAACAGCGGAGCCTAGGATAGCCAGCAGCGGAGGTGAAGGGTATGGCGGGCGAAGGAGGGGAGTGTCTTTCCTTGCTCTTGCTGCATGTTTGTGTAGACACACACAGCTTCCTAGTACACACAAGGGTGGCTACATAGGACCCTGCAAGGGAAAGGAGCCACCTTAAAACAGGACATCAGGGCAAGCACTCAGGGGACCAACTGATTCTGCAGGAAACTAGAACTTTGAAACATCAAGTAGCAGTATCCATTGTGGGTGATTTAATCAGCATTTGAATTAGCTTGAAAAACTTTTGACTACAATATCACTTTAACAGAGAAATCGAATCCTAAGTAGCCATTTGTAACCAACAAATATCTGTAATAAAACATCTATTTATGTAGCAATTAAACTAGACATTTAAAGATTAATTACCATAGATGAAGGACAATACTCCGGTGCCCTCTGTAGCAAATGCTTCTGTTGAGACTCACTTTTTGAGGCCAATATCTAGAACAAAAAAGACACGTTTATTTATAAACAAAAAAATGCATTTCTAATATCCGAGCCTCCACACAAGTTGCTCTTTTGTCGTTGATAACAGGGCCTTAACACAAAATTAAGAAGAGCATTGTCTCCTAACTGCTATTATAGTAATATCTTGACACTGGAAGGAATCCAGCTCTCCCCCTTTCAGAATAGGTAAATAGTACCTTAAACAGGGTATGACAATGGAGACCCTGGTAACATCCAACCAAAACAGACTTGACCCAGTTCTATTGTCCTGGATGTGCTGGATGACTCACAGAGGTTGATTTACTAAAAGCAAATAGGCTGTTCACTTTGCAAGGGAAGTTTCCTTTTAACTTGGTGAATACAGTGAAGATTCAATCTGCAAGAAGACCCATGCATGTGCAAAGAAAAAAAACAGTATTATTGCCTGTACATGTTTGGATGATGGAAGTCAGCTTCACATCATTTACTAAACTAAGGGAATATTTCCTTGCAAAGTGAACATCCTATTTGACTTCAAATCAACTGCACAAAAACTCTACTGCCTTTAGATTTTTAGTTTGGGGATTATTTTTTTTATCTGAATAAGGCTACACCACCAATGTTTTATATAACAATATGTCTACATTACTGTATTTCCTTTGGTATCTTATTTTACCTTTAGTAACCATGAAATGTACATGCTCACTTCACCTGTAATGCCACTGCATACCAACCCCTTACCCCCTGTAAGGTACTCACCAAGAGGCTGCTACGAGCACATGCGCACTATGCCATGTGGTCCTGTCCTCAAAATTGCAGGCAAACATGCCTTGAATGGTGGGCACGTGCATGCTGGAAGTCGTGCACGCGGACATGTGCACGGAAATATGCGCGTGTTAACGTTGGAAGCTTTGCAAGTAAACAGTGTAATGTGGGCATTCGTGCACGCCTGCTTATTGGTGCCAGATGGGCTATAAAATCAGTGCCAGTACTGAACCTATTGCGGACTGGTCTTCAGCTGTTACCTGTGTTCCTCTTGCCCGTTCCTGTGATTCTGCTAACCTGTGTTTGACTCAGGCTTACGTTCCTGACCTCTCTCCTGACTTCTGATTTGGCACCTTGAACCTGGCATCAGCCTCTCCTGTGTTTGACCCCAGCTCGTGACCCGTTTCCGCTGCATCTACCGATTTTGAACTATGTCTCCATACCTAACCCTCCATGTATGACCCTGACTTGTACCCCTGACTACAATCCTGATCTTCCAATGGCTCCATTCAGGGTCTGCTACCTGGACACCATGCTCTGCCTTCCAATTCCAGCTAAAGCCTCGCCAGACTGCTCAGTCTGCTTGCTGCCAGTTCTGGCCATCATCTACAGGTCATCCCACTCAAGTTCCAGTGCTAAATCTGCATCCCTGTGCCCGCACACCTCCTGTCTCTACCTCCAGGGTAGTCAGAAAAGTGGAGCAGGAGTAGCCCCCTGTTCAGCTTGATCTCTTTCCAGGTACGTGACACCCTACC